ACACAGGACAGCCCCAAATAACAAAAACTGTTCCATTAAAAATGCCAACAATGCCACCATCGATAACACTAGAGAATGCCACAGTAAAGCTGGTAAGTTTGCCCCTTTCAGAGCAGTGATTATCAAACCTGGCTGTACCCCAATAAAAATCAGGGGGGCCCTGGCCAGTGTAGCTTAGTTGGTTGGGCATCATCCCATGCACCAAAAAGTTTCCTCTTCGATTCCTGGTCAGGGCACATGCCCAGGTTGTGAGTTTGACCCCTGGTAGGGAACATGCAGGAGGCAGCCCATCGATGTTTCACTCTCACATCGATGTTTCTCTCTCTCTCTCCTTCTCCCTTCCTCTCTCTCTAAAACCAGAGGGAGGGAGAGCCCAGGAATCAGAATTTTTACGACACTTTGCAGGGCAGTCTGATATGCAGCCAGCTTGTCTGCTTTCTAGGCATGGCTCAGGGCATCTGAAGGACTGCTCTTTGTCTTCTGGTAAAAAGGAGGCCAGATTTGGTTGTAGGGACTTTGGGGTGCAATTATCACAGACCACCCTGACAAGTGGTGCTACCAGGGTCTACATTCAGAAGCGTTACAAACATGTTCTGTTGAAGTACAACCCACACAGAAAACTGCACAGCTCATAAGTGTAGAGCTCAATGAACATGTGCAAAATGCACAAAATTTACAAAGCGAACACACCTGAGTAATTATTACCCAGAACAAGAAGTTTCCAGAAGGCCCCGTAGGGCCCCAAGGGTGGCCACTACTTTGACGTCGAACAGCATAGATTAGTTTTTTCCATTTTGAATTTTATATAGCAGGAACGATATACTGTCTTCTATTGCATGTTTGGCTTCTTTGGTTCAAGATCATGTTTGTGAGATTCACCTGTGCACTTGTGTGTAGCTCCAGAGAGCTCCATGTGTGACTGTTACATGGTATATTGATCTAGTCTATTGACAGACATTTGGGAAGGTCCCAATGTTTAGCTAGTATAAATATGCTGTTTTCACATTTTAAGGTGTGTCTTTTAGTGGACAAACGTCCTCAGTCCTCCTGAATCTATACCAAGGTGTGCCCATGCTGAGTCACAGGGTATTCAAATATTCAGCGATGGTAGAAATGGCCCAACATTTTCCCAAAGTGATTATACCAAGTTACACTCCATCCAATAGAGTATGAGAGTCAGGAGTGGTTTTAGATCCACGTCAGTTACCTGGGCACATTTTTAAACCTCTCTCAGCCTCAGTGTTTTATTCTGTAAAGTAGAACTTCTGTGAAGACTCAGTAGAAGCTTTACTCTGGTGGTTGGTCTTTCCTGAAAAGCTCTGGAGTCTTTTAGAAATCTGTGCAGGTAATGCTCATGCAATGAAACCCAACAATCTACTCAGGAGAGTCCATCAGAACAAGTTATATGTAAGTTCACTTTGTATGGTGAAGCTTTCTTATATGACTGGCTGTTTGCATCCATTCACATGGGATAGCTTTTTTTAACACTTAAAAAAAATTCTAATCTGAGTACAATTTTAGAGAGAGGAAGGGAGAGAGAAAGAAAGAAAAAGAAACACTGGATGTGAGAAACACTGATTGGCCATCTTCCATAAGTGCCCAGACCCGAGATGGGGGACCGAACCTGCCAACCCAGTTATGCACCCACACTAGGAATCGAACCGGCAATCTTTCGGTACACAGGACAATGCTCAACCAACTGAGCCACTCCAGCCGGGCTCATGGGATTACTTTTTGTTTCATGTTCATTGTCATGTGTTTTTGAGACAACATCTAATACAAATGTCATTAATATTTGTTGAAACTTCTACACACCCCATCTCCTTCCAACTCTGATCGCTTTTGGTTTCTTATTTTGTTTATACCTTGACATGTTAGAAAATCTTGAAGGTGCTGTAGGCAACCTGTAAAGGCTTATCCACAGACACAGAATGGGGAATTTATATAAAGATATATCGTCTTTTTCAGAATGTCCCAAATGAATGCAAATACTGATGGGGGGGGGGGGGGGGGGGGGGAGGTGTGTGCACGAACTAGAAATCAACTAGCTGAGGCTTGAAAAAATACTTGCCTTCTTCCTCCTCTTCCCTTCTCACCTCCCCTACCCCTGCCTTCCAGGCTATACATTGCTTTGTGAAAATTTAGTGGCTTCTTGGTCAATCTACTTTGGAAGACAGTTCGGTGACATTGTATAAACCCTGTGACCCAGAAATTCCATGCCTAGGGCTATACTTACAGAGATGCACGCTTATAGGCACCCGAAGGCAAGGGTGTTTAAGGGCCCCAAATGGAAACAACCCAAATGTCCACCAACAGGATAATGGATAAACAAACTGTGGCGGACTTTCAGTGGAATACTATACAGCAGTGAAAGCGAATCGGTTGCAACTACATGTGACAACAGTTGAATCTTAAAGACATAATATTGAGCCAAAGAAGCCAGTCCTCAGAGAATACATACTACTGGATTCCATTTAGATAAAACAAAAAAGATGCAAAGTAGAACTGTATTGTTTAGGAATGCACAATAAGGTAGTAAAGGTATAAAGAAAAGCAAGGTTGTTGACACCATCAAGTCAGGAGAGTGATTACTGCTGGGGCGGGGGGTGTGTTTTTATGGGGCGCTGGCAATGTTTCTCGCTCAGGATTTGAGTGTTAGTTTTATGAGTATTTATTTCACAGCAATTTCTTAAACTGTATATTTTTGCTTTAGGCATTTTTCTGTGTTTATTCAACTTCACAATATAAAAGGGGGAAATGGGAAATAAACCACACTTGCTCATGCGAAGTGTATCACCCAGAGGCCCTATCCAGCCAACGAAGACCTGGTTAGTTATCTGCTCCTGGCAGTTAGGATCTGCCAACTCCGGGGTCTTTTCAAAGATGGGGTGAATCTTTTAAAAAATAATTTTTATTTTTCAATTGCAGGTGATATACAATATTATATTAGTTTCACGTGTACAACCCAGTGATCATTCTATCACTTACTAAGTGATCATTCCGATCTCATACTCATCTGACACCATACATAGTTATTGCAATATAATTCACTGTATTCCCTATGCCAAACTTTACATTCCCATGACTATTTTGTAATTACCAATTTGTACTTAATTTCTTCCCTTTTTTACCCAGCCCCTCAAATCCCCTCCCATCTGGTCACCATCAAAATGGTCTCTGTATCTATGAGTTTGTTTTTGTTTTGTTTGCTTATTGTTTTTTTATATTCCAAATATTAGTGAAATCATATGGTATTTGTCTTTTCTCTGTCTGACTTATTTCACTTAGCGTAACACCCTCCAAGTCATGTGTATCTTTTATTCCAGCTTGCCAGGCCCCTGCGATATGAAACTTTGACAGAAGTACCCAGTTTTCAAATGTTGTCTTTTGCTAAATAGGCCACAGTTTGTGTAGAGATGGACTAATTGCACCTCTAGACACCAAACCCCTTCTTTTTAAAGTTGTTTCCTCCCTCCCTTTCTCCCTCCTTCTGCCTGCAAGATGCTGGGTGCGTCCGGTTGTCTGCAACTGAAGTGGATGGAACCCGTAGGAAAACAAGGTTTCCTCCCCGGGAGGAGGAATCTTTCATCCCAACTTCCCCCCAACCTCCCGACCATCCGCTCTGCCCTCTCCCCCCACACAAACTCCGCGGAGCCGGGTCCCCTCGCGCCTCCGCGATTGGTCGCGGGCCATCATGTGTCGACACTCTGGGTGGGTCTTTCTCGCTTTCAACTCATCAATCGCTTCTCTTTGGGGCTCGGCTGCCCAGTGGTTCAGACCTTTGCGCCCATTTTCCTCTTTCCTTCCTCTTCACCCACCCCTTCACACCAGTCTTATTTTAGCAAAACCTAGAGGAGGAGGAGGAGGAGGAGGAGGAGGCTTTTGGAGGGGGAGGAGGGAACGCCAGGCATTGCAGCATCCGGGAGCAGCTATTGAGTGGCTAAGCGACGGCGCATACCTCTCTCTCTCTTTTTTTCCCCCTGTTGGGAATTTTCAGGATTTCATTGCTGCAATTTAACCCCAGGATGAGGCACGGTTGAGCGAAGCGCTGCGCGCACACACACTCACACTCAGCAGAAGAGGCAGCCGCGGGTTGATTCAGGAAGAAAAAAAAAATCACCTGGACCCTGCGGCCTCAAGACTCCTTAAAAGCCCCCTCCGCCTCCGCCCCGAGCGTTTCCCTCCCCTCCCTCCTCTCCTTACCCCGTTAATATTTTTTACTTTAATTTTATTTTTGGGCTACGGATCTTTGACTTTTAAGGTCTAGGAACTCAAGCGAAACAAAAAGGGCGATTTCTTCATTGGGGAGGGGGAGCTGCCCGCTCCCCACCAAAGACTTGGTTTTTATTTTTTTCTAATAAAATTTTTTAAAAATGGGCCGGGCGCACTCCTTTTGCAAGATGCCAGCCTGACCCGTACCTCGGAGGAATTTGAAGCTTCCACTGCGTCCCGGGGGGCGTCCTTTGCCAACCGCTCGCATCTTAAAAGGGGTGTGCGTTGGTTGTGTGTGTGTTGTTGTTTTTTAAGTGCCTTTTTCTTTTCTTTTCTTTCTTTTTTTTTTTTTTTCTCGGAGTGGGTGGCCTGGGGATTGCCTGGATTCCTTCCTCG